AGTGGCTTCCCCCTCTTCTCCTGGCATCATTGCCGTGACTTCCTTTGGGACCACCTTTTCCTCTACTCTCAGTCCATGTGCTTTAGTGGGACTGACCCCATCCTTAGCATCCAGGGTAGGCATGTAACATAAACATGAGCAAGTTAACACAGGCTATGCTGATAGAGTTTGGGATCATCAGGAGTCCCCATTAGAGCCAGTCAGAACTAACAGTGGAAGTAAGGTTGGAGGTAACCTAAAAGAGAAACTTCATTCTCTTTTCATGGGCTGGGACTTGAATGGATGTAGGCTGGTTCTGCTACTGCCATCTTGTCACAATGAGGAGACAGCCTTTCGGAAACTGGAGCCAAAACAGGAAGCAAAGCCAAGCCAGACACAGAGAAACTGTCTGATTTCATTGATTAAACTGCTAAATATAATCAAATCAAATAACAGGAATACTTCTGAATTCTGTAGTTATATGACACAATAAATTTGCTTTTGCTTCAAGCAGTTAGGGTTCTACAGTTGCTGTCATTTGCAACAAAAAGGGCAATAATTTAATCATAAAAATCAATGGCTAGTATTTGACAGAACTAATCATTCCCATTTTCAAATATGCACTATTCCTCTGTCTTTACCCATTTTTCTAATCCTCCCTTTAATCCCCTCTAGGTCCTCTTTACGTATAGCATCAAATTATAGAATTTTAGGGTTAGAATGGATCAGGGGTAAAGAAACGAATATGTATTGAGATCCTTGAGGAAGACACATTTCATATGCATAAAAGCCTGTTGAAAGTATGGACATGCTTTTTGGAATTATGTTTGGAACACCACTCTAATGATTAAACTGCTATGAAAGAGATGTCATATGAAGAGAAAATGGTTGTAAATTTGGACTGTGTGCTATCATTTCCATTCTGAATGTAAAGAATGGAATATTAATGAGGCACAAAATGAAGGTTTTCGTAGTAATAATGCCTCCAATGGTAGTTTGAAAAAAAAAAAAAAAGAAGACCTGTCATTGCATTTTGATACTAGCACACTTTCTAGAAAGGAATTAAATTGCCTTGCCTCCTCAGTTTTTAGAAAGCAAAAGGTTAGAAAATACAATAAAAATGAACATTATTTCCAAAGGGAACTGAAAGTCATTGGACTATAAGATATTTGAAATCATATCAAAAAGCAGAATTTATGGTCTTATGAGTTATGGAAAAGGAAATTGAATTGTGTGTTTTATTTTTAAAACACAACGACTAAAAAGGTGTTTCCATAGTAACAAGGTCAATACCGGTAGCCATTACAGACCTTCCTCTTTTCTGATAGTGGGTTTTAAGATCTTTTCCAAACCATTTTAAAAGCCCTATGAAAAAGTACAGCTTTTCTGATCATTCTTCTGAACCAAAAATGAGGAAAAACACACATGGAGTATTGAGTTTCTCATGTTTTATGGATTATAAGCATTCATGGTTGTCATATTGTCAGAAGGAAGCCTGCCTGACTAGCTATTATGCCAGCCCTCGAACATGGGATTTGATTAGCCTGATTGTAAATCTGGACAAACAGAAGTTGTTTGAAGTAGTATTCAAACAGAAATAAAAGGCACCACAATATTAAAAAAAAACTTTTTTAACATTTAAATATTTAAAGAGTTGAGTAAATAATCCCTGTTATTAGAAGAATTGCAAAGGCTCCGATGAAGCATGATATCACCACTACAGGAAGGTTAGAAAGATACAGACCACATTTTGTTTACAACAGAAATAAATAGCTCTTTGGCCATGAAATCAATTCATTTAGTGCCACCAGGAAACGGCCTCTCCTTCCTCTTTCCTTTGTATCAAGATACACTTGCCCATGTGATAGTCATTTGTGCTGCCTTATCTTCCCTAATAACTGCGAGCCCCTTGAGAGTAGAGATACTTTTTCTTTGTATTCACAGTAGTATCTCATATATGTTTTGCATTTTAAAAGTAACTAAAACATAAGTGGAGAATGAATTGTGAAACAGAATGGCACAACAGTGCCTAAAATAATACAAAATCTATGGTGTATGGTGTATTTTTAGAAATGATAGTCCGTAAAAATGTATACTCACGATTTAAGTCTCTTTAAACCAAGAGGCTCTAGATCCTTGCTCACAGACTCAAAACTGTTAAATAAAGAATTGTTTCCTAGACCAATTCCCTCAGAGTCTCTGCTGGGGCGCTGGCATCAGTATTTTTGACAACTACTCAGATAAACCTAAAGCGATGCTTTGGGTTGAAAATCATTGCTTTAAACTGTCCTCTTGAGGCTCAATTAATGATTAATTTACCTTCAACTTTTAGCTAATTGGTTTTTTTCCTCAATATTGCCTCGTAGTACTATGTTTGCCAAATCTATAAGACCCCCTTTTTTTCTGAGAGAGAGAGAGAGAGAGAGAGGGAGAGAGAGAGAGAGAGATAACAGATGCACCAGCAAGCAGGGGAGAGGGGAAGAGGGAGAGAGAGAATCTTAAGCAGACTCAAAGTTCAGCGCAGTCTCATGCAGGGCTCAGTCCTGCGACCCTGGGATCATGCATGACCTGAGGTGAAATCAAGAGTCTGACACTCAACTGACTTAGCAACCCAGGCAACACTATCAGGTCTTTTATTATAACCTAAAAATTTATTCTCTAGAGTCACCTTTCATAATAAAAGCTCCAATTTAAAGAGTTCTGTTTTACAGAATTAAAAGTGGTAACCAGCAATTATCTATTGTATTGTGTTCAAAATACTTATTAGCTTTTTGTTGCTTAAAATTCAGTTTTTGAAAAGCAGAGATGAATACAGTACAATACAGTAATACTAATAAATGTCAATAGAATTTAATATATGCACTTGTGCTTTTATGCTTATCTTTCTCGGGCCTGGAATACCTTTTACACTTTTATCTATCTGAAAAAATTCAGACTTATCTTTCAAAACACCAGATCATATTCTTCTTCCTCCAGGAAGCCCTTCTTGATTCAGACAAACTATTACGTCCTCTTTTCTTTGGCACTGCTACTGTGTTTATGCTTGTATTTTGCACTTCTCCTACTGTACTGCCATTTCTTTTTATTTTTCTTCTTTTGTTTTTCAATAAGTCCATTTTCACTACTTGATTGTGAACAACTTGTAACAGGTGCTGACTTATGCCTCTCTGCTCTTTTACTCTCCGGGTGTGGCAAAATAGCTAGAAACAGGCACTCAATAAGTGTTAACTAAATAAAAGGATGAAGGTCCACATTGAAGTGAACCGGGTGCATTTCAAAACCACTATTGCTGAGGACTAAATTGTGTCTCCTTCAAAAATTTATATATCCCATGTGATGGTATCTGGACACAGGGACTTTGGAAGATAATTAGGCTTAGAGCAAGTCATGAGGGCAGGGCTTTCTTGATGGGATTAGTGTCCTTATAAAGAGATACCAGAGAGCTTGCTGTCTCTCTCCCTCTCTGCCCTGTGAAGATGCAGCAGGAAAGCAGTGATCTCTCACCAAAACCTGACCATACTGGCAGCTTCTAGAACTATGAGAAAATAAATTTCTGTTGTTTAATTTTGTTCTGGCACCCAGAGCTAAAACAACTATGAACTGGGATTAGGTTATTTGATGAGAATATTAATATAAACATAATCAATATTTATGCTTTTAAATTTTATTTATTTTTTATTTCAACATAGTTAATGTTGATTGATTTTAGTTTTAAAAAAATTTTTTATAGTTAATTTTAGTTTTAAGACACAGACAGAGCATGAGCAGGGGAGGGGCAGAGAGAGAGAAGGATACACAGAATCTGAAACAGGCTCCAGGCTCTGAGCTGCCAGCATAGAACCCGACGCGGGGCTCGAACCCACGAGCCGTGAGATCATGACCTGAGCTGAAGTCGGATGCTTAACCAACTGAGCCACCCAGGAGCCCCTAAATTTTAATCCTTTAAAAAGTATGTGTTTTTATCTCAAAGTAAAGACTGTATCAAATGCAATTAGAATAGATATTTTGTAATTTCTCCCAAAAATTAGAGGCATAAGTTTTGGTATTTCCCTGGTAGACTAGGTTGAAAGTGATGTGATCTTTCAGAATAAGTAATCAATAGGAAAGAATAAGTTATCATGGGGACATGTTATCAAACATAGTTATTTATCAGGATTCCTTTTTTTCCCCTCACAGGTTATATTCATTAAGGACCCAGTACGTTCTGTTTACTGTGCTAGACACTGTCTTGTGTTAATTTTGTCTTCAGGCCAATTTAAGCTTATTTCATTCCAGCATTCTCCTGGGACTCTGGATAATAAACTCCCCAATCCTTACCTGGAGAATCTATTCTATAATCAAGGCACAAAAATGGCATAGTTTGAATCGGCAGTATCCATACTTTGTTTTGTAGATAAGTAATACTTTTAAAATTTTGGGAACTGATACAAAGTTATCAACATTTTATTTGGCCAAATAATAACATTCAAAACAAATGAATGCCATAATCAGCAATTAACATCAGTTCCCAAGTGACAAAGGATTTTAACACAAATTCATTAAAGGATATAATCTTAGTAGAGAATAGGAGGTGGTTTTCAAAGTAATTACATTTCCTCTAATGGAGAAAATATCTACTATATTCTTTATTCTTCTCATCTCAGCCTATATTGGTGAAACTTCATTAAGAACAAATTCCTCTCTGGGATAGATAAAAAGTTCCTGTCATTTACATGTTTTCTCCTGAGTGTTCTACTTCATTCCTATTTCTCACTATTCAAAATCCCTTCCTTATTCTAATTATTAGGATTGTCCATTAACATAAAAAGTAAACTCAGTTTAATTTCATCAGCCATGCAGGGTCCAAATGAAAAATGCCTGTTTACTTAGATGTAATTATTTTCTCTCATTTTCTCAAATACTAAAGATAAATGATGCTTCCGTGCCATGATTACTTTATACTTCAGTATTTATAATATGTCATATAAATATCTATTGAAGGCTATAAATTAAAAACTAACCAAGATAGCAATAAAACTTACACGTATGGACCCAGTGAGACTACCCTTGCGATTACAATTCCAAGAATCAGGGTTGTTAAAACTGTAGAAAGAAAAGAGATCTGCAAAAGAAAATGTAAAGATATTGTCAGTTAGAAAGAAATATTATTATATTGAAAATATTAGGTGTTTCTCTTTTTACTTGAGTAAACATATATACAGTTTTTGTTTATGCAATCCTGTAGTAATTTATTCTTATAGACTGGTGTTGATAATCTCAGGCATGTAACTTTTTATCAGATCACAGTATTATTTTTTCCCCCCAAAAGGGTGACAATTATCATTTATGAGTACTCTAATCTTGCAATATGGCTTTAAGTTTTTTAGTGACTTACTGTATAGAATACAAAACTGGTGATTTTCGTTCATGAAAGTGAAAGGGAAGTTGTTTTCTTTTTTTCTTCAGGTCCTATTTTGGTGTTGACTTGTTCTTTTTTACTACCCATAATTGCTTCTTTTGCTTCTGTCTTTACCTTACCCTCTCCCTTTCAACATAGGACCTCCCCCCTCCCCACACACATACTCACCTAAACATATTTTGGGGATTCCCCTCCCTTTTCCTTTCTACTATCTTTTGTATTTCGTTTTGCCCTTTGGTCTGTTTCTAAAGTCCTTGCTTTTTCCCCTCTCTTCTGTCACTATTTCAACTGGTTAAAATATAAACTGTTCTGTGTGCATATGTATCCTGTGCATTCATGATTAGATCTGTGTTTCTGCCCTTAATTTTTTAATGGATAAGCACATTTTAGACTTCTTTCTCTAACAAAAGGAACACAATATGAAATTTATTTTATTTCATTTGACTGTCATTAATCTTGTTTCCTGAGTTGCTAGTTTTTAATTAGTAAGAAGGTTCTATTATGAGTCCTCTGATCTATTGAGGAACAGGAATTCTAAGTAACATTCCCAGGGTCACACAGCTAGAATATGGTGAGGGAGAATTCAAATGCAAACAACTTGACTACAGATCAGGGCTCTGAACTCCTCTGATTTGCTTACTGGGAGATTTATTTAGACATTTCAATATGAAGCTTTTAAAGGGCATTTAGGCGAAAATGTCCAGGTATTAATAATATGATAGAATATTAGCTTTCTTTTCATGAATGCCTGGCTTTCTGCTCTCAGAAAATAACATGTCTACAACATAGGAAGTGGAAAACTGTTCAGCCATTTCAAATAATTTACAAAAAAACCTCTTGTTTATTTCTGGAAGTCTGTTAGGGAATGAAGGTAGAGTGGTAAGGATACTTTGGAATATCATCTCTACTTTCAGTTCTATCTGGAAGGACCATAGCTAACAGGACCTATAACAGGATCCTTACAGAAGGACCCATGGCTATGGATCCACATGAAACATCACAGTGAAAAGTAAAATTCACTCAACTGTTGAACGTTTCAAATTAGAACATAAAAATATATAAATAAGTCTCTTTAAAAACAATTCATCAGAATGCTTGGCAAACTATAGCTATAACACCAATAATATTTTGCATAACATACAAACACACCTTGAGAGTAATGAAATAAAAATACTAGTAGGTAAAGGCTAACCCATACAGATGAGCATATATGGTGAGATGAATAATAATTTGTTTGGTTTCACTAGAAATAAATCATCATTTCTCTTTCAGAATAAGAATCATACACAATGGCCAAATTCTCATGAATCAACGCACTGACATTTAAATCACTGAATAAAACACATTGTAGTTTACTAAAAAAATTTTGAGCCAATGAAGTGATTCATCCTTACTTCTTAAACTTAGTCTAACTTTTTAAATTTTTAAAAATGTTTTATTTATTTCTGAGCGAGAGACAGCATGAGCAGGGGAGAGTCAGAGAGAGAGCTCAGAGGCTCCAGGCTCTGAGCTGGCAGTCAGCACAGAGCCCAACAAGGGGCTCAAACCCAGGAGCCGTAAGATCATGACCTGAGCCGAAGTTGGACGTTTAACTGACTGAGCCACCCAGGCACCCCTAGTCTAACTTTTTAAATTGTTTCAACTACTATCTATAAAAATGATAGAACATTTCTTCAGTATATTAGACTTGTGTAAGTATAATTCTTTTTATTTTCTAAATTGAAAGTTGCTAAGTATCTACCTTAAAAAAGGGGAAAAGAAAGGACATATTTATTTCACACTCATCAACTATTTAACCATTAGTTCCCATAAATAATATAAAAATTCAAGCACAGATTTTTCTAGTATAATTATAAGTAAACTAAAAGAAACTAAGATAAATACTCTAAGAACTCGGCCATATAGAACAAAGTTTGACAAAATTAGTGCAGGTAACAAAGTACATATCTGCACTTTAAAAAAATTTTTTAAATATAATTTATTGTCAAACTGGCTAACATACAGTGTGTACAGTGTGCTCTTGGTTTTGGGGTAGATTCTCAGGGTTCATCGCTTACGTACAACAACTAGTCTACACCTTTTAAAAATGTAAAAGTTACCTTTCCAAGCTTTGCTATATCGCGATACAAGGACAAAGGTAGAGTAAAGGCAGCCGTGGAAAGCACAATAATGAAGTGGCGACCAATAAACAAGTTGGCAGGGTCAACTAAAACACAATAAATATTATAAAGTCTTTATAGGTATGAGTAACACACCATTGATACAAGTAAGCAGCCAAATACTTAACTGCAGAAATAAATCACATTAAATGTTACCTAAATGACAAAGATTTCAAGTAAATAAATCCCATAAAATCATGTAAAAATAGAAATAATTCATATAAATACAAAATAACTTAAGATGAATCTGTATTTCAAATAATCTTGTTGAAAATTTTTTAATATTTATTTATTGTTGAGAGAGATAGAGGGTGGGGAGTAGGGTGGCAGAAAAAGAGGGAGACAGAATCTGAAGCAGACTCAAGGTTCTGAGCTGTGAGCACAAAGCCTGGTGCGGGGCTTGAACTCATGAGCCATGAGATCATGACCTGAGCTAAAGTTAGACACTCAACCAACTGAGCCACCCAGGAACCCCTAGTTCAAATAATCTTATAATATTTTTCACTCAAATCATTTTAGTAGCCTTCTAATCAGTTTTCTTGCTCTACCCTTTGTCCCCTTAGAGTATACTTTTAACCCAGAAAGTATAGAGATCCTTCCCAAAGGTTAAACATATTATGTCACTCCTGGACCAAAACTCCCTAATGGCAAATCCGTTCAATAGGAAGTAAGCTACATGAGGACAGGGCATGTTCTGGGGGTTTTTCTTTTTTTTAGTTTCTGTACTCTAGGCAGACATGAACAGTAAAACTTAAAATTTCAAAACTCAAGCTTTGGTAAAATCTTCTATTTCTGTAGTTTTGTTGAGAAGCAGTGGTATCCCTGAAGAAAAACAGACAGAAACAACTTGTGGTGTGAAGTCCTTGGGAAGCTTGTAGACACCAGTATACACTGCAGACTCCTAGCTATCATAATGAATAAATAATTGTGTGTGTGGGGGGGCGGGTGGTGGTGGAAGTGCATGTGTGTCTATCATCAAATACAAGTAAAAATTGTAAACATAAAATAAAACATATTTGCAAGGATTTATATAATTTTAAAGCTGTGCTAAACATAGTGTTAACTTCAGGAGCTATACATCTATTCCAAGGAAGACACCACTGGTTGCATATTTGAGTTCATATTGAACTTCTTCAGAAATCCTATCATTAGGATTTTGAAATGTCCTTAGTGGTACCAAGTCTTTGTTCATTCATTTCTGCAAAGACTAGAGTCTATAGAATAAGTGAGTGAAAAAAAAGCTATTCCTGGGAAAAGTGAGACTCATTTTCTAAAATTCTCATATGGCTAAAAAACTAACTTATAGAGAAGTTCCCAGATACAATCTCAGAGTGGTATAAATGTGACACAGACAAACACACACACATACATGCCCTAATAAAAAATAATTAGGAATATTTGTTTAAGTCAGACATAACTAAATAATTATCATAAAGTTGTGAATCAAAACACTAAAACAGGAAGTTCAAGTTCCTCAAACCCTGAGCTCAACTATTTACATATTTCTGGGGAACATAATTTGAATTAAATTATTTGCATATCTGTTTCTGTTTACCTTTTCAAATTATTTGCTCTATAATATATGTGGTAGAAAGTATAAGTTCTTTTTACTAGGAAATTTTAAGTTCTAAAAAAACACTGGAATAGGATCCTATGAATAGCAGTGACAAACCTAGTAACAAAGGCTCTCATTACCATACAGGACATTTTTTTAATAAGGATCTAATGATGAGATCTATTATTTATAATGATCTTCTAACAACAATACACCTGAATAAGCATTTTAAGTGTTTAAGCTATAGTAAGATTTTTTAAGTCTATTTATTTTGAGAGAGAGAGAGCATGAGCAAGGGAGGGGCAGAGAGAGAGGGAGAGAGAATCCCTAGCAGGCTCTGCGCTGTCAGCGTGGAGACCAACATGGGGCTTATCCCGGCAACCATGAGATCATGATCTGAGCCAAAATCAAGAGTCAGATGTTTAACTGACTGAGCCACCCAGGCACCCCTAAACTATAGTTAAGATTCTTAAGAAATTTCAAAATCATCTAAACGTACAACTTCTTATACCAAAGTTTCTTACCACCTTGACTTCTATCAAGAACCAAGGCTTTGATTATCTGAGAAAAGTAGAAGCAATTCCCACTTGCCAGTCAAAGACATTGGTGATATATTTCAGGGGAATAACTATAGCCTTGCTAATGATTTTATCTACTTCTAAAAGTATTTTGGCATGTTACACTTTATAAGATATACAAACAAGGCATACATTGTAAAATATTCCGTTCAACAATGATAAGTAAATTGTGATAAGAATAAAGTGTGTTCTGGGGCACCTGGGTGGCTCAGTCGGCTGAGCACCAGACTTCAGCTCAGGTCATGATCTCACGGTTCATGGGTTCGAGCTCTGTGTTTGACTCTGTGCTGACAGCTCAGAGCCTGGAGCCTGCGTTGATTTCTTTGTCTCCCTCTCTCTCTCTGTTCCTCCCTGCTTGCACTCTATCTCTCTCAAAAATACATAAGCATTTAAAAAAAAAAAAAGAATAAAGTGTGTTCTTTGCTATATGGCATATTTTTTAAAAGTCATTTTTGATTATTAAAATTTAATAACTAGGGAGGGGGCTTCAAAGGGAACTTTAGCTTTGTATAAGGTGTTTTATTTATATGAGGACTATATATTCATACATTATTTATAACTAAAAAACAATTAAAATGTGATCAAAATGTTCCTTTTGGGGAAAGCTAACTTAATTTTGGTCTATCTCATTGTACAGCAGATACTATACAAGAGAATACTGAACTGCCATCAAAGCAATTAGGATATCTATAATTTGATATAAAAATGTATCCTTAATATACTACTAAGAGAAAAAGCACATTATACAATGAGCTGTATAATATTATCTTATTCATGTGAATATCTGAAGTCATACATATTCTTAAAACTCTGGAAGTATATGTTTAAAAGGAAGAAAGGGAGAAAGGAAGGGAGAAAGTTGTTGGAAGAATTGTCCCTACCTGGTTTTCCCCAAAGAAAGAAATTATGAGTATGTTCTATCTCCTCTATTTTGTCTGTCTGTATTTTCTATTATTTCCTAGTAAATATATATTTGTCACATAAGAAAATAAAGTGATAAAAAGATTTATCTAAATTAATACATGCTCCTTTGAAAACATGAAACATAACAAAGGAAATGAAAAAATCCTCACGAATCCCACAATTAAAAGATAATCACAGTTTACATGTGAATAGATTTTTTCTTGTTTTTTTCCCCTTAGTTCTTTATGAAAACAGAAAGTTTACATAATTAGGTCACATTTTATATGTGGCATTATATTCTTTCCATTTTTCTTTAGCATTGTATCTACTCACATGATCTCAGTTTATGAAAATGTGATTTGTAGGTTGGGGGCTAGAACAGAAGCTGCTGGTAAGTAAGTAACAGTACGTGAAAAATGTTACTACAGAGAGTTGGTGATATGCAGCATAAGATTTTTCTTTAAATGTTTATTTATTTACTTTGGAGAGGGAGAGAGAGCACAATCATGGGAGGGGCAGAGAGAGAAAAGGAAACACAGAATCTGAAGCAGGCTCTAGGCCGTGAGCTGTCAGCACAGGGCCCAATGCCAGACCTGAACCCATGAACTGTGAGATCATGACCCGAGCCAAAGCTGGACACTTAATGGACTGAGCCACACAGGCGCCCCAGCGTAAGATTTTAAAAATACAAAGTATTCTAAGTATATGAATAGTAATGATATCCTTTAAACAGTGAAATAAGAATGAAACTATCTATAAAGGTAGATTAATACTTAAGCATCAGAATGCATCATGGATATTGCCAGCTATTTGAAGTCACCCAACTCTTCCACATGCAAATATTTTGCTTATAAATTATTATGAACCATATTAACTGAATAATACGTAAATAAATATATTGACTCACCTCCTGGGATTCTTTGGAAAACTTTACTCAAAGTATCTCCAGTTATTATGTTGTAACTTATCATAGCTAAAAACATAATTAAAATAATACAGTTACTGATAAGCCGTCACATATTTCATCTTGAATATTTTAATTTTTCTGCATTAAACACCTTTTTCCTAAGTTATTTAAATTCCAGTTAGTTGATGTACAGTGTAATATTAGTTTCAGGTATAGAATTTAGTGATTCATCATTTATATACGACACTAGGCACCCATCACCACAAGTGCCTTCTTTAATACCCATCACCGATTTTGAAAGTAATCAGTTATTCCTAAATATTGGCATAATCCTACTTCTTTCAAATATATATTGTGATTACAAATATGTACAACTTCAAAAAATAACTAGATAACAGATTTATGGGAGAATATAAATTGATATTACAAAAACATTTTCACCTTACGAATTGATTCTTTTCCAGACAGAACACCTTTAAATAATAGTGAGTTTTGGTAGTCATTTAAAATGTGATTTGTTACTGAAGTTCAGTTTCCAAACATGTTTTCTGGAACACATTGCTCAAAGAGAGGAACAATCATATAATAGAAAATTGTGAAGACACCCAAATTCCTGCTCATTTGAAAAAGTAAGATTTGGGGGAAATAATCATCTTAGCCTTCTGTGGAGACATAAGGAACTACTGGTCTGAACAATAGCTTCTATATTACTGATTTTAAAAAAGAAGTCAATTCAACCATTGGTAAATGTTCACAATGCACCTAAGAAGTGCTAAGTGACATGTTCACCATTATGGCACAAATTTTAAACCGCATGTTGGTCTTGTCTGTACATGGCTTTCACAAACCCTTAGGCTTTCAAAAAACACATTTCAGCTTTAGAAGAAATCTTATTTCACCTATTCACTTTTTAAAAATTCTTTTGTTAAATGGTTATTGATTTTTGAAAGAGGGGGAGAGGCACAGAGTGAGGGGGGCAAAGGATCTGAAGCAGGCTCTATGCTGACAGCAGAGAGCCTGACATGGGGCTCGAACTCATGAACCACAGGGCTTGAATTCATGAACCGTGAGATCATGACCTGAGTTGAAGCTGGACACTTAACTGATTGAGCCAGGTCTCCCTCATCTATTCACTTTTAATCTACTATTAAAGCGACCTTCTTCAGAAATAGTTGCATGTTTATGAAATACTTCCAATATTCATTGTCACCTTACCTATAAGGACATACCTATAAAAGGATACAACTTACCTATAAAAGGATACAAAAACTGAAGAACAGAGAGGATGAGATATCCCGGAAAGCCAAAGGTTTTATTGACCAAAGACTGGTAAGTGTCTGTTCCAGAGAGGGCCCCTCCTTTTATCAATAAAACAAGGGAAAAGTCTGTGGCAAAAATAGCAATTAAACAAATCTCAGATTATATTTATTACAAAAAGGTTTTTTTTTTAACATTTTGTCTTCAAGACTTCAAAGAAAGTCTTTGAAGAGCTTAATTTAATGCTACAGTAGATTGGCATGGCAAGGCTCACTTTTTTCTCATAAAACATTACCTTTCATGAAACAGCACTATTTCCAGTCATATATTTTTCAATTGAGATGCAAATACACTTAACATATCTGAGCAATGAATTGGACAGATGAGACTATGCAGACTAGAGACAAAGCATCCATTTTCCATTTCACTTTTCTAACCTAACCAATGTAACGACTATTAACAGGATGCAGCCCCACTGTCCAAGCAACAGAATGTAAGTAATCAAATATTTCATAGACATTCAATGTGTGAAAACCAAGAATGAAAAATGATGCAAGCATGCAGGAAAAAAATAGATTGAGGAGAATCAGATCATTTGTTTTATTATGGTAACTTTATTTTATAATTTAAACTGGTAACTTTATTTTATAGTTATTATGGTTAAGACAGAACTCCAAGAATTATTTTTTGTAATTTATAGTTTAAAGATTGAATTCCCAATTTAGAGTTGGAATTGAAGATACAAATGTATAGAAACTATATAATTAAAAGTTAATCTCTCTTGTCTTTTTTCTCCCACTGAAATCAATGTTTATTGAACACTAAGTGAACGACACTGCAGTTGTATTGGGGACACAGCTATGCACAGAGGGTGATTCTTGCTTTTTCTCTTCTCTGGCTCATGCTTCCATCACAGGTGATTTTTTTCTTTATGCAATTTGGAAATGCTTTAAAATACAAAGAAGACAGAAATCACTGCAATATGCTTTCCACCTTGAATCACTGCAATATGCTCCAACATCCTTGAATCTTCTTTCAACAAGTTCACCAATGAATTCCAAGTTGATAAACCTAACTGACATGTGCTAAATCTTAACCTATTATTTCAGTAGCAATTTTTTCTTTTAATATTTAATGTTTATTTATTTTGAGAGAAAGAGAGAGACCAAGCACGAGTTGGGTGAGGCAGAGAGAAAGGGAGCCATAGAATCTGAAGCAGGCTCCAAGCTCTGAGGCGTCAGGACAGAGCGGGACACAGGTCTCAAACTCATGAACTGTGATATCATAAGCTGACCTAAGGTTAGACACTTAACTGAGCCACCCAGGTGTCCCAGCAATTTTTTTCTGTTTACCATTTTCCTCTTCCTCAATCATCCTCTCTTGGCCTTTGTGACCTCATTTTCTTTTGGATTTTTTTTTTTTTGAACAGAACAATAAACATGACCAAAGATAGGAAGGAGGGAGATGTATTTGACTTTTTGAGCTTTGATTTTCCTCAGGTCAAACTCTAGCTCCTTGTCCCCTAGCACATAGCCACCTGCTCCACCACACTGGTCCCGTCTTGAAGCCACGCATGCAAGAAGCTTGCCCTGCTGGAACCGCACCTTCAGAAGACTGCTGATTTGGGCATTCTTTTTCTTTACATCATATTTCTTCTGAATGTTCTTTGATTGTTTTATGTTTAAAATCTTCCTCCTCAGGTGTCGGTTGGCCCCCTTGGTGCAGCACATGGGCAGCGCATAGTGGGACTCGTACCACTGTCGGTAGTGTGTGCTGTCAAGGGGCACGATACAGGCATTCACCAGGGCTTTGGTGCAGACCAGTTGGTGGTTGGATGCATTATAGACAAATCAGTAATTCTTGTTTTGCATGTACAACACTCGGAGCCTCAGAAGAAGTTTCCCACAGCCAGCCTCAAGGCACAGTATTACCTTCGTGAGCGCGGACTGTGTGTATGTGGCAGGGCCAGTCTTAGGGTTTGCAGCGGACATCCCAGCTAATACTTGAGCTTCCTGTAGGGCTTCCTCTTGCCCCCCATCTTCTGGCGCTTGTGCCACTTGTCCCCAGTGATGCCCACTGCTGTCAGTACTAGCTGCAAAAGAGCGTACTTCCTCCTACCTTTTGACCAATCATATGGGTAGTTTGTTTTTTGTTTCTTTGTTATTGTTTTCCCAGTTTCTCATACTCTGTTTAAAACCTGGATTCTTGAGACTTCTTTCTCACTCCTCAAAATGTTCTACTGTGATCTTATTCATGTCTGTGGCCTTAGTTTTCCTACAGATGTTATTAATCACCATTATTGTATCTCCAAACCAGTCCCCCTTTCTATATATAGCTGTCTAAAAAATATTTTACCTTGGACATCTCATAGGCATCTTTTTTAAAAAATTTTATTTATTTTTTATTTCTGAGAGAGAGAGAGAGACACACACACAAGATGAACAGGGGAGGGCCAGAGAGAGAGGGAGACACAGAATCTGAAGCAGGCTCCAGGCTCTGGGCTAGCTGTCAGCACAGAGCCAGACATGGGGCTTGAACCCACTAACCGTGAGATCATGACCTGAGCCGAAGTCGTCCGCTTAACCAACTGAGCCATCCAGGCGCCCCGGCATCTTTTTTGTTTTAAATGTCCAAATACTAATTTATAGATTTGTTCTGGAACTTGCTTCTCCATCCATATTTCTCCAAATTGTTAACAATAACAACAGAAATTTGAGAATCACTGTAGACTTCTCATTACCCATTACCTGCTACGTTCTTTTGGTCTTCAAGTCCATTAACTACTGCATTCTACATTATTCAACAGTATCCCTCATTTCTCATCTCTAATCTGCTTTATTTGAGGGCGTAGGCTTTTATCATTTCTTGCCTTGATTACTGCAAAAACTCCTCTAATAGTTTGCCCATCCAACAACCTGGCCCCTCTTCAAGATAGTTTTGACATGCCTTCTCTTCCAAGATTTTTTTGACATCCCTCCTCTACCAGATGGATCTGACCACAGCATAAATCTGATGATGTTTTCTGCTTAAAATCCTCCAGGGGAATCCTCTAATGCTTTTGGATGAAAAAATTCTTTTCATGAGGGAGAAAAAGTTACATATTAGCTGTGTGATCTTGGGTGAAAGATTTGATTTTCTTGAGTCTCTGCTGTAAAGTAAGACACAATACACCAGACCTTGAAGAGTCTGTGAGAATTATGATATTTAAACATCTACCACAATGACTAGCATGCTCTACAAGCTAAATGAATGAGAACTTGTGCAACTTTTGGTTATTTTCTATAGGTTGAATGTGATGGTGGAAAAAAAGCTCTGTATTTGGAGTCTGATAACAATGATAACAACCACAAAGATACTAGCAAATTCTTTCACAGCACTTCTTTCCATTCCAGACTTTTTCCTAAGTGCTTTACGCATATTAACTTGTTTAACCCTCACAACAACTCTAAGTAGGTGCAATTATTGCCCACCCCACTGTAACAGATGAAAAAAAATGAGCCACAGAAGGTTGAGCAAACTGCTGAACTTCACAGGGTTAGAAAGGAAGAGTCAGGACTCAGATCTTGGTAGTTTGGCTTCAGAATCCATGCACATGGTCAAAGTTAAAATTTGAGGTCTATAACTGCTAACCTTGGGCAAGGCTTTTAACCTACCAAAGGCTCAATTTCCTTCTCTAGAAGAGTAGAATATATTCCCTGAAGTAGAATATTTACTTGCGAAGGATTAGAAAAGTGGCTGTATTATGTTTAGCATCAAGCTAGTCCTCACGAAGCAGGAATGATGATCATTACATGGGTGCCCTCATAAACGCCTCTGCAAACCTCTCACTTCATCTCTCTCCACTTCGAACATCAACCCTATACTTTAGCCAGATGGAATCACTTACACAGTTTCCTCTGGCACTTCCACATTTCCATCTGCTTAGAGGACCCTTCCATTTTCTTTGCTCACTCATAAACAGTCAGTGGAGGTGTCTCTTCATTCCCAAAATATGCCTGCTCCTTTGAGACTCCTTTTTATTATGGCTTTTTTCATAAAGTATTATAACTCTGTTTCTGTCTGCCAGACACAACACTGTGAGCTTCATACAGGCAGGAATAATGTTCTTCATTGCTATCATGGCAGCAGTTGTCACTAAATATTTGTTGAATTAATTAATATAACAGGATTGCTAGATGTCTATGTAACCGATTGAAATCCAATGTAACTGGCCTAAAGACTATATTTAAAAATATTCTACAAGCACAAAAGACATAGCAATTAATTATATTGCCTTCGTTTGAAACCAGGAAAAGCTTCACAGAGGAGCTGAGGAAGCCTTGGAGGATATACAGGGTTTCACCAGGTAGAGAAGAAAAAGAATGTCAAGCAGGGAGACTATCCATTGGAAGGCAGCATGAGAGCACATTCTGCAGAGAATGGACTAGTCCAGAATGGCTAAAACATAACTTCCAAAAATGGCAAGGTTTGTGATGATGTGAAAGAGACATTAGATTAGCTGGAGATGAAACTAAAAATTCAGATTGTGGCAGAGCTATGAAGGAATCTGAATGCAGTAATTTTTTTTTCTGTTGTCATTATGCAGCCTTGGAATGTCTTGACTGGGGAAATAGAAGAGACCAGGCTGAGGTTTTATAGAGGTAATTCTGCAGCAATATGGAAGACTGATCAGGAAAAGGCATGAACACTCAACGGCAACTGATTGACCAAGGAAGAGAATGAATGAGGACCTCAGTAACAGAGAGGGGGTAATGTTTCATAGATGTTGTGAAGTTTCGGTGAAGAACTGTATGCTTGGGATGAGAATGCTGAGTTTTATCAAAGTTCAAAATATATTGCTAAAAGTTAACAATTTGCTAAGAATTTAGTCAATAAAAAATGTGTTTATCTACCTGTAAAATACAAATTATAAATTATATCTTAAAAGCTTTGGGAATCTTAAGTATCAATCACCATAACATTGTGATCTCACTTTAAATATACTGCATGCAAATTTTAGATAAACCCATGAATGAGTCTGTTACCCAATATAAAAATTTTCTTTTACGTCAGCATGTATGTCTGTAAAATAAATATTATTACACTCTAATCAACAAATATAAAAATCTTAAAGCAAATTAAAATAAAATGTTTAAGTATTTACAATTTGTTCTTATTCCCCAACATTTCACAAACATAAAAACAGAAGAACTACTTGCTAAGCTGGATATATCTCATTAGAGGACTTGAAAAGACAAAAGAAAAATTATAGAGAAAAACAGTTGTGTAATTAGTGTTAATTTGTTTTTTTAATTTATTTATTTTAAGTTTATTTATTTTTGAGAGAGAGAGAGAGAGGGAGAACAAGTGGGGAAGGGGCAGAGATAGAGGGAGACACAGAATCTGAAGCGGGCTCCAGGCTCTCAGCTGTCAGCACAGAGACCGATGTGGGGCTCGAACCCACAAACTGCGACATTATGACCTGAGCTGAAGTCGGATGCTTAACTGACTGAGCCACCCAGGGGCCCCTACAGTGTCAATTTAAAGAAAAATTCATTATTATACCTACTTGTAGATTGTACTCTTTAAGGCATAATTAAGAAACAAAATGAATCACAGTCTATACATTTTTTTTGCTTTTGTGTGGTCATCCTTTATTCATCAGGGTTATTTAAATATTTTGATCATGCAACTGAATGAACAAGAGTAATTTCTAATGATTAATAACTTTGAAATAAATGCTTCGCAAAGGGCTGTTCACAGTCATTGCTACCAGTTTAAGCATGGCATTGGGTGAGAAAGTTATTCACATTATGATTTATTTATGTATAATGAGATTTGGCTTGGGTAAACTGTTAATTCTCCTCAAGTATTTAATTCTTAGGTGATATATATCTTTTAATTTTTTCTATCTACTGGCTTACAATGTGTGTAAATGTTTACAGTGCACTTAAATAATCCATGGTTATTATGCCTGGGTGGAAATTAATGGTCAGTGCTGACTGACTGGGAAACAGGAAATTAAAAACGACAAGGGTAATCCTTGAATGGGATTTTTTAGTGTGATGAATGTTCTCATGAATAGAATGCAATTTTTAAACACAGCAACTCTGAATAAGCACTACGTTATGGGTCCCATGTTACTAAGTTATGAGTCTGAAGCAACAAAAAACTACTTGCTGAAATATGCCACCATTTCGTCCTCGGAGCAGGGCCAGAGCTACAAGAACGACTTTAACGCCGAGTACAGCGAGTACCGCGACCTGCATGCGCGCATCGAGCAGATCACGCGGCGCTTCACGCAGCTGGACGCCCAGCTCCGGCAGCTGTCCCAGGGCTCTGAGGAGTACGAGACTACTCGTGGGCAGATTTTGCAGGAATATCGAAAAATCAAAAAGACCAACACCAACTACAGCCAGGAGAAGCACCGCTGCGAGTACCTGCACAGCAAGCTGGCGCACATCAAGAGGCACATTGCCAAGTACGACCAGCGGCAGCTGCAGGCCTGGCCGTAGCCTGAGGCCACGGCCCGGGGTCCAGGCCAGCTCCCCAAGCCACCGGGCCAACCCTCCTGGATGGTGGGGGAGTGTGGGGGGCTGGGGGGGGGCGGGGGAGCTCCAGAGCGGAAAAAAAGAGATTTATTTAAACAAATAAACACGAGGAAGACACGTTAAAAAAAAAAAAAAAAAGCTCAAAGCTCAAAGCAGCTTGGGTTTGGGGAGAGCAGGTGGTGAGAAGGAAGCAGGGAGGAAAGCAGCCCCGTGCTCCTGCAGCTCTGACTGTGGTATCTACCGCATGCATTACTCTCTCTTCCTCAGCCTGAGTGAAAAAACAGCAGACTTCAAGGCTGGTCTCAGAAACCTGAGATTTTGTGAGAGGATGGCATCTTGGTTAGGGTCTCCAGAAGCAGAGCTGCCTCAGAGATTCTTGGGCACGGGATTTGAGGGACTGCTCTCAAGAGAAGGGGAGGGACAGCATAGGGAAGGGGAAACGGCTCAGCCAGGGCGTGGTCGCAGGTGAAGCCTAGCTGGAGCCCAGCCCTGTGGTGGAGGCCCTCTGGAGCTACACCTGCAACACACACTGGTCTCTCCTGGGGGCCAGGAGGTCAGCTTTTGTGTTCCTACCAGTCAGTCATTGGCTGAAGGCTGCGGGGAGATGGTGGCTGGGCCTCGTCACCTCATGGGAAGGTGGCGCCATGGAGAGCCAGGCCAACTGAAGAAACAGCTGGTGTTCTGCATTCCCTCGTAAAAGGCATCCAAGTGACCGCGCACAGCAGGCACCATGCCAACAACCGCTGCAGGTGGTATCTGTTTTTGATCACTGCCTCTTTCATAGCGATCCTAAGGTAGAGGAAGGCCCCTGTGGTTGTCATGAGGTGAGTTGGGGGGGCGGGGTGGAAAATGGGCAGGGATGAGAAAAACGGGAGGAGGTGAGTATGCGTTGTAAAGCCTGCACTCAGAAGAATGGCAAAATGTGAGTGTGAATGAAGATGTTACGTGAAAAGGGGGAAGCAGCAGAGAAGTGGTAATAGAAGCACCTATTGCTGCCCTCTAAGACAGTGGTAGGCAGGGAGATTGGGCAGGCAGGGGTAAGGTGGGGAGGGGGTGGTGAACACCCCAAAAGGTGCTTGTTGAGCACCAAGTCTTTCAGTCTTACCTGTACAAAAATAGCTAGAAAATATTGCTCATTCACGTGCATCTGCTTAAGGTGTTTGTGGGAGAGGAAGGCCTGATGTCTACACTTTCAGAGCAGTCTCTCCCAGTCTTACCAGCCTTTAAAATGATGTCCCCATCTACCGCTCTCTGCATAAGGTGAAAAAAGGCACATGAAAAGGATTTAGGCCTGGTAATATATAATGCTTTTCTAATCTGTTCAGAGGATTAGTAGGCAAAGTAAATCTCTTCAGACATAAATGTCTAAATTCTTTAGGATTATTTGATGCACTTCTTAATTAGGAAATTCAATTATTGTGTGTGTGTGTGTGTGTGTGTGTAATCATCATTGCACAACTTAAATTGCAAGAAAAACGATTTTACCTGTAACGTATGAAACCCAGAATAAAAGCAATATTCCCAGAGGAAAGCCAGCTTGCTTCATTGAATAAGGTAATCCTGGAAAAATATAAAATGCCCCACACATCACATTAATAAAACATACAGAAATTTAGAACTTTCCCCCCAAATCCTGTATGTAACAAGCTCAGTAAAGTGACATATTTATAGGATATGGTTGTAAACAGTGCATAAGGCTACTCAAATTAAATGTTAGTATCTTAATACTATTTCAGAATAAAATGCAAGTTTAGGGCACGTCAAGAGAGCAAATTTATGAGGTGATGGAATAAGAATAAGAAAGCAGCAAATAAAAAAACAGATGACTGTTCACACAAATAATGTTCACTTCAGGGTGAGGGGAATATGACCTTGAATACGTGGAAAGTAATGACCTAAGGCTTTCCTTACGTGCTACCTGGGAACGCAGAGAAGGTAACAAGGGTACAGAAGGACTATGGGATATGAGGACAGACTGATGGCAGAATCAAAATGGGTAACCATGTAGGAAAAGGAGAGAAAAATGAGAAGGCAAAAATATTTTCTATAAAGCTGAAGGGTAATATAAAAGTATGATTTTGGGGGGAAATGATCAATTTTAGATTATGGGCAATAACTATTTGAGATAAAGTGTATTTAAAATATTTCCATCAAGAATTTCTTTTCTCTGAAAAATTTTTTTCTTTAAAAAATCTGCTGTGCATCATTAAGAGGCTCTTTTCAACGTTGCTGACATAAATCAGCTTAAAGTGTTCACATCAGGAATTAACTCTGGAATTCTGCCGGGCCGAGCTGCCCACACCTCTCTGGTTCATGGGAGCAGAATTTCAAACAAATCTTTGCCCCTACTTGATTATTTTGCCTCATGTACCTCTACTCTATGTATCATCAAAAAGAATTGTCTATATATGGAAACGAGTAAAGCCAAGAGACACATCAGCTTGCAACAGGTGAAAAAAGTAACTCAATCCAGATAAAGGTTCAATGATGACCATAACTTAAAGGTCAAAACTTTACAGGAAAAAGTAGTCTCAAAGAATTTTGTAGAATTTTGTTTTGTCCTTGCTTTTTCTTAAATTGGATGTTTTTAAAGAACAAATAGAATAATAAGCACTGAAAAAATAATTGCCTTAATTACTATAATACAACACACTTAATTTTGTCGGAATTTTCCCCTTTCTTCAAATTGGGAAAATATGAGCTGCTCATTTCTTTTAATTCTGATTATTTGGCTCCTTTGTTAAAAAAATCTATGTATTTTCATTTAAGCAATATCTATTATTGATTAAAGGATACTTAAAATTAAGATATAAGTTTGTACTTTAAAATTAACATTATATAGAGAGGCAATGACATACTGTATGATTTAATTATTCACAAAATTATTATGTTTTCACATCAAACTTATGTACCTCTGATATCTCGAAATATCTGGAGACTTACATTCTAGAAGGTTACAGAAAGGTGGTTCAAGTAATGGTGAACACTTCAGGAAGATGGAAAGAGATTATTGCGTAGCATTATCAATTGACCATTCAGCCGTAAAAATAAATTCAGCAGACTGCATATGCAGCTCCACCTTTATCTACCACATGTGAAAGATGCTTTCAAATGAGGAAAGAGTGTGAACACAACCTCTTCTTCAGCATAAAAGTGCACATTGTTACACTGGAAAAAAGTAGGGGATTTCTTGGGAAAAAATTTTTATGGGGGAAAAAAATTACTAATTGTATTAATATTTTTCCTTAAAAATAATCAATGAATACTATCAATAGATTAAGAGTCTTAAATTCTGTCTTTTCACTGAAATTTGAGAACAAAATAAAACAACACTTACCTATTATGCCAGATCCTATAATCGAGTTGACAACATTAAAAACAGCTGTGGACTGACGACACGTTTTCCCTTTGTGCTGATGTTCAGAAACGAGGGTTTCTCTGTCATCTACATTGCTCTATTTTAATATATAAAATGGCAATGAAGTATTTACTAGGTCAAAATATTAGAAAAGTGTCAGATAAACATGCCACGTAGGATACTAACACATTAGTAGTAATAATTAGTAATTTCATTGACGATAAGAAAATGATTAGCAAAATAATAAAATAATAATAATAAAGAGCAACAATAACAGCTAGAAACAGAGAAACAGATTCCATCTTTAAACGTCCCAATTACATCTGCATCAAGTTCACGGACTGCTGCATGGAATCTCAAAATACAGGCTCAGTTAGGAGCCAATGATGCGATTTCGTGAGACTAAAGGGGTATATTGAAAAGTGCCTGCCAAGAAAAAAAAAAAAAGTCAGATGAAGGCAAAACTTTTTCTCCTGGAGGACTTTCTGCAGTGCGAAACCAAGGCAGCCGACCTCTGTTGCAGGGTGAGTGAAACTGGAAGGGACGTGGCTTCAGAAGCTGCCCGGGTCCCCAGCTTTACCTGAGGCAGGATGACGCGCCCCTGCGCCTGGTAGCTCATGGCTGCAACCGAGTCCTCTGCCCGCGGAAGGTTTGAGGGCAGGGGAAGGCCGCTCTCGCCCGCCCAGCCCCCCCAGCCCCCCCACCCCCGCGACCTCGCACATCCGGGGTCCCGCGCGGCGCCGGAGGGAGCGAGCGGTCCCGCGGCCGCCCCTGGCCCCACCTCCGCGGCTCAGCGGGTGCGCGGGCTGCGGCCCGGAGCGCCCTCGGCTTCCGCCCGGGGCTCGCCCCGCCAGCGCACCTCCCTTCTCAGGCGGGATGCTCCACGACGTCTCTGATCTGGCAGCCCTCTCTCCCCTCACGGTCTTCTTCTCCCCAGCCGCGCCCCACCTCCAGTTGGAAAGTAGTTTGTTCCGCCCCGCGCTGCCCTGCCCGGATTGTTACGACGGCTTCATTTTAGTCCGCTCCAAAGTTAGCTGCTCTTCGCTGAGTCTGATGCCCAGGTAAGAGCGCAGGAGCACCCCTGATCCCCTGGAGCATCTTTTCTATTACCTCGACCTCCTCCTCCTTACGCATCTTCTGTTGTTAGAGATGATGTGAAAATGTAGGACTTTTATTTTAAATGGAAACCAACCAACCAACCAAAAAAAACGTTTCTGGATTACTGAGCATGCTTTGGTCAAATGTCTCCTGCCGACTTTTAGGAAAAGGAGGCTTAAAGAGTGGAAAAGATAGATTCGTGATGGATTCAGGTAGTGAATCTTAAAACAGGGAGGTGCGAGGTGCAAGGAGGATGGGAAAGAAAAAGCACTTAGAATATATGAGGTAGAGACCATCCTCACGATCACTTGTTCACTGTTACATTACAGATGAGGAAACTGGCCCAGGGAATAATCAGTCACAAAAAGAATCAAATAGAAAGGTTTGAGAGACACTAAGAGTGGTAATATAATACAAGTACTTATCAAATGCTTATTAAACAAGTTCTTTTACTTAAAATTATGAAACACTTTTGTTATGCCGAGAGACACAGAGAGAGACCCACCGAGACCACTGAAGCCGAATGGAGGGAGTCTTGATCGCGGCCGGCCGGGACCGCACAGAGTTAACACAGAGCTCTACATGTGTGGCCCCGAGTCCAAGGACTTAGGGTGTTTTTTAATGAGCAAGCAGGCCAGTGGGCAGTACAGAAGCAGAATTGAGCAGTTATTGTAAAAAGGCTACAAAGTGATAAAGAGAGCGGCCCTTACCCTGGTGTGTAGGAAAACGTTGTTTTGAAGGCAAGGTTTAGGGTTTTGGGGGGTTTCAAGGGAAGAGCCATTATCTCAAGGACAAAGTATGCAAACTGTGTCATAAATAACCGTTATCAGGGAACATTAACCCTTGTCTTCTTATTTGTGTTTTTCCTTGCACCTGAAGCTCGTTACTACGTAGCCCTCCGAGGGCCGGCCCAGAAGGTACACTCTGGGTCAAGCAGGAAGGACCGAGGCTAAATTCATGTGTAACATTCCCCACTGGCTTTAGGTGTATGAGTCAAATCATGGACTCATCATCTTGGCTGAGCCTGTTGTAGGAAGATCTTAAGACCATTATCTTTATTAAGTTTATCTTTTCTCTTATAAAGTTGAGTAGCCAATTTACGAGACATGGGCCGAATTGGAGGCACAGTAGCAAGAGCACTAAGAGACCTGCAACAGCTGAAAGAGTTGTTAACCAGGGGGCCCATGAGAATAGAGATTGATACCAGCTCACCTGGTATCTTCATTTTTTTCTTTCTTTTATGTTATGTCTGACCAGGGCCAAGCTCTCTCTGATTACTCCAGAATAGTTTGTATAAAAACATCAGGCTCTTCCCAGTGTGGCACACAGGCCTCCTTGTTTTAAAAATAGGACATCTAGGGGCGCCTGGGTGGCTCAGTCGGTTAAGCGTCCGACTTTCGCTTAGGTCATGATCTCGCGGTTCGTGGGTTCGAGCCCCGCGTCGGGCCCTGTGCTGACTGCCAGCTCAGAGCCCGGAGCCTGTTTCAGTCTGTGACTCCCTCTCTCTCTGACCCTCCCCTGTTCACGCTGTGTCTCTCTCTCTCTCTCTCTCCTAGAAATAAATAAAAAGAAAAAAAAATAAATAAAAATAGGACGTCTAGCCCTCGCCGGTGCTGGAGGACAACCTGTGTCTCAAGCTTAGTAATAGAAGCTTTTATGAGACTGAGGTCCTTGTCCACCTGTCTGCCGAGGGTTTTAAAATTTTCCTGTCCAACTATTAAGGAAGCTGTCCCAAGAGCCATAGAGCCAGCAATGCCAGCCCCCTAAAATGGGTACTAGAATAGGGGCGACACGTTTTGCTCTAAGGCCAGGGGTCATTCCAAAATGAACTCGTCCTTCTTCTCCACTGGCTTTTGGGCGGCCTCTCGAGCGGCCGTGTCAGCTTGTTGATTCCCGACTGCCTCCGGAGAGGAGCCTTTCTGATGTCCTTTGCAGTGGATTATTGACACTTTAGTTGGCAGCTAGATGGATTTTAGCAAGCTTAAGATCTCTTTTTTATTTTTAATATCTTTTCCTGCCAAGGTTAGGAGCCCTCGCTCTTCGCATAGGGGCCCATGCACATGTGCTGTGGCAAAGGCATACTGGCTGTCCGTATAGATGTTGACAGTTTTCCTTTCGCCAGCCTTAGCACCTGAGTTAGGGCAATGAGTTCAGCTTTTTGTGCTGAGCTCCCACGCCCTAGTGGCTGGGCCCAGACTACTCTTCCTTGATGATCAACTACTGCTGCCCCTGCTCTTACAAATGGGGCCCAGATTAGAGGCAGTCAGTACCAACAGAACATAAAGTGAGTGTGAACAGGAACCTCTCACGCTGTTTTCCCAGCTTTCTGGGGTAACCTCTGCCAATTCGATGGCAAAGAGTAAAGACAGTCTATCTTATCAGAATGGCAATTCCTCAAGCTTCTGCCATGCATAGACCAGCCAGTTTCCAGGGTATGGCTGGAGCAGGGCTGGAGATCTCAGGGGCCAGTGTCTTTTTGAGGGTCAGTTTAAGCAGATTGACTGGATCTAGATCACTTTGCGAGGTTGAGGGCTCTTCTGAGTTAGCCCACTTAACTCTGGAGTGATGGACCCATGGGGTGATACCTGAAACTTTAAGGGCTGAGTCCTTTGCTTGGTTGTATATCTGTGAAGTCCACGTCCAAGTATTTGGAAGAGGTGACCCCCATCCTTTGAATAAACCATATCACCTGGGTTTAGTAAATGTCAGGTCAGGTTTAGGGAGGATATGGTTTGCATATTTAGAGATCTACCCTGTTTTGCTGTTGTTTAAATAATCATATGCCCATGGGGTCTTATTATCTCTACAGAAGATTGTGTGTACATGAAATACTGTGACAAGTTTTCTGAAGGTTACCTCAAGTTGTCTAATTTAGGCAAACAACAAACATTTAAAGACAATCAGAACTAGAATTTAACATCTATAATGGTGCGTTGTTGAAACATAGTTTTTTTTCTCTAAAAACCCCCATTTCCAGAGATAGCCAAATTGAGACCAATGCATTTGTAGAACAAGTCCAGTCTTAACAACCCTGGCCTAATTATTTACATAAGCTCAGCGAGAATAGTGATTGTTTTTTCACCTGAGGAACTTTCAAAGTTTACTTTGCTGGAACCTTTTATAAGGAATCTCCAGGTTGAACTTTTAGTAGCCTCTCCAGGCCAGAAGCCAAGCCAAGTTCTTGCCATCAGACAGGCCTGCAATACCTGTTGAATTGGGCAAATTCTTCTTTACGAGGTCCCCAAGATATCCTGAGGTTTGTGCACCTGCCAGAAAGTGGCCTTCTTTACTGAGCTGGGGAGGCGGGAACTCTGTAAGCAAGGTATCCGGCCAACGTTTCCAAGAGGCTTTATGGCTCCATGTTTCATAAAGTCAACCTTAGTTCCTTAAAGCTGTCTGGTCATATCTGAGTCTATGCATGACTCTCAAATATGGCATTCCAGTCAAAGCCTTGGTAAAATAACCAGTATTTCCAATGGTGTCCTGTTACAAGATGAACAGATTCTTATCAAACTTGTGCACACAATTGTAATTGCCATAAAAGAAAGAATACTCATTGGGAGTTTTTGAATTTTAGAAGGTTTAGGTAGAGAGAAAAGGTAAATGCTTCAGTTTACAAATTAATACTTTGTGACATTTCTGTATATCATAGATCTCTTAAGAATAAGTTTCCTTAATCCAGATATGCAAACATTAAAGAACCAGCAATATTTCCAACAAGAGTCACAAAACTATAATTTTCCCTCAGCTTATTCAGTCCCATGTTTCTAATTCTTGTGCACTTTGAATGCAGCTTTTTAGCTCTGGAAATTCTTACCCATTTTAGTATTAATCTTAAAGATGTCAAATACCTGTATTTGTTCCAAAAGGAACAAATCCCTTTGAAGAAGAAACATGTTTTTTAAGAGAATAAGAACAATGATTTCTTACAAAATCTCAGAAATGGACATTGTTAAAGATCTGATGAGAGTTCCTC